TGGGCCCTGCCAGCCGACGGCAACGGCAGCGAAATCGGTGAGGGGGCAGGGGCTGGGCTGGGCGGGGCGGGGGGAGGCTGGGGGGAGCTCGGCGAGGGGGGCCCCGGGGCGGTGTCCCTCAGGCCCGGCCCCCTCACGGCTCCTCTCCCCGGCCAGGCGTGTTCCACCTGGGCGTCCCGGTCGAGGCGCTTTTCTTTGTGGGCAGCCAGCTCATCGCCACCAGCCACACGGGCAAGATCGGCGTCTGGAACGCCGTCACCAAGCACTGGCAGGTGAGGGGGGTGGCTGGGTGGGGAGCTGCAAACGTGGGTGCGTGAGGCGGGGAGCTGTGGGGGGGACGCGGGGCGAGGGGTGGGGGTGTGGGGGGCACGGCTGGGTGGGGAGCCGCGGACAGGGAGCGGAGGGGGGGACGTGGGGCGAGCGGGATGGGCCGCGGGGGGATGTGGCTGGGCCCGCCCCGCCCTGAGCAGGTCCCTTCTCGACCCCGGGCAGATCCAGGACGTGGTTCCCATCAGCAGCTACGACGCGGCCGGGACCTTCCTGCTGCTTGGCTGCCACAACGGCTCCATCTACTACGTGGGTGAGTGGGGCGGGCGGGCGCAGCCTGGGGGGCAGCCTAGGGGAGGCGGGGCGGGCGCAGCCTGGAGGGGTAGGGGCAGCCTCTTGTCCACCAGCCCCAGGGCCCGGCTCTGCCAGCTGCAGAGGGGCCGCATGGGGGCCTGGGCATCAGGCAGACGCAGGGGCAGCGGGTGGTAACTGATCCCCCGGTCTCCTGAGTCCCAGCCCAGGGAACTAACCATTAGGCTGCGTGGTGATGGGTGTGGGGGGAGCCTCATTCTGACCCCCCCACGCTGGCCTCGCCAAGCCCTGTTGCCGCCTTGTGCCATGGAGGGCGCCCGCGTGCGTCTCCGGGAGGGGCGGGGCACCAGGCCGGGGGGCGGGCCCTGCGGGCAGCATGAGGATAGCCCTGGCCCCGCCGGGCTGACAAGTGGCGGGGCAGTGGCCAGGGGGCTGCAGGCACTGGGCCTGCGCTGATGCCCCCCCCGCCCCCCCAGATGTGCAGAAGTTCCCCCTGCGCATGAAGGACAACGACCTGCTGGTGACGGAGCTGTACCGCGACCCCTCAGAGGACGCTGTCACCGCCCTCAGCGTCTACCTCACCCCCAAGACAAGTAAGGGGCCTGACCCACCCTCACCCTACCCCAGGCTCTGCCCCGCCACCCAGCCACTCCGCTCAGCCGCAGAATCCAGGGTTCAGCCCCACGCTCCAGTAGGAAAAGGACTGTCCCCGGTCATCCACGGAGTCAGTAACGGAACCCAGGAGTCCTGGCTCCCAGCCCCCCTGCTCTAACCCACTAGCCCCCATTCCCCTCCCAGAGCCAGGGAGAACCCAGGAGTCCTGGCTCCCGGCTCCCCCGGCTGTGGTTCCTATAGTGCAGGGGTAGGCAACCTATGGCACGCGTGCCGAAGG